AGCCAAATCGGAGATCATGAGGTCATTTTTTGCCAAAATCAGTCTTGTTTGTAAAAGAATGACCCATATGCAGTTTGTGACGCGGAAAATTTGTTGAAAACTCAAAAGGGCTTTCAAAAACATTAAAAGATTCCTAGAGCGGAAATGAATAGAAATAGCAATTCGATAAGAGAACTTCCAATTTATTATTGTTAGTTATAGAGCCGTTGTAAGTGGATTATCATTTTGAAAATCTATTTGTCTTTTAAATATCTAATCAAAGACTATTTCAAAATCTGAGAACAGCTGTGAAATTCATTCTATTTTGGATAGCTGACTTACTGTCTTTACAGAACTTACATCCGTCTGTGATTCATTTATTCTGTATCTAAAGATGTTCAATAGTTTTTAAAATTTTTTCTATAGGCTTAGTTACCCTTTGCTTCTACAGCATGACTCTCTAGGCTTTCCAGTATTTTAAGATATTATTGGATATTAGTTTTATTAAAAATGTAAGAGAAACACTGTGACTTGAATTTAACTACTTTAGATGGTAAAAAGGTGACAGCGGTTTTTCTCATTACAATTGCTATTCCAGTATCTCTACTATTTTTTCCTATTTTAGTCCCAGATTCATACCATAGTTCCGAGCTTGGTCTCAAGATAGCGCAATCATTAATGTCTTTAAATTGTTCTGAGATTACACATTTTTTACATCAGAAACCATAAAAATAAAATATTATCTAGAATAAATTAAGGTTGTTGACGTTACCTGTTAAGTTGCTTCTTCAAAGTGATATATATGAGATAGTCAGAGCTGTGTGTAGGTTGTTTATATGGTCATCACAATGCGAATCGCCGCAATACTGGCAGGACTTACAAGTTTTTTCACAGCAACAATTCGGTCTTTGTAACATTTCAATGAACTGTTATATACCCTTTTCAGTGCTTTTTGAGTCTTAGTTATCTTTGACCACAAACTTACTGAAGTGTTGTTGATTTAATAATAGGTTTGTATGGTAACGTCATCATCTTTGGTGGTTGTCTCCATGTCTTACCAAATAGCCTTAAACTAAGTAAATTCTGGGGATTTATTTGTTATATATAAAAAGTGGTTGTTCCACTTAAGCGTCTTGTCTCGGATCACCCCGAGATATGTGAACAAACAGATGTATGTTAATGAGAGCTTTCTTCAGTTTACACTGTGAATATTTGATTTTCACCAATGATAAAGTCGAGGTCTGGTCTTATCAAATGCTTTCTGTTTTTGTTGGTTTCAAATTCCTTTGTATTTCAATGGAATTTCAGCTACTTTTGTGTACGGTTTAACACTCAATTTAGTTAATAATGGTTATTAAAACTAAAATGAAACTCTTTAGTAATTTTAAAATAGTTAACATATTACTTATTATTGTAACTATGTTCTTTTTGCAACTTTTGTCTTACCAGAAACATAGTCTTTTCCTTTAACATGAAGTATACTTTCAAATTTTCGTTCCTTTAAATGGCATGTTATTTAGAATTAAATGTTAAATACTTGCATTCATAGTTATCGTTCCATTTACTTGACTTCGCATTTAGTGTAAATTATATTCAAGTTCATTATGTTGTCTAATTTTTGTATATGGTATGTTCCATGTATATCTTGTTTTTATTGCCAAATAAAAGGCCACAACTGCATAAACGAAAACGATAAGCAACTATCTTTTTGTATCTGTATTTCTGTGTGCTTTAGAGGATGGTTGTTATGTCATTTAGCTCGTCTGTATGTAATGCATTTTTCCAGTCAAAATAACAATAACATAAAAATAAGTAGAAATAATATACATATCATCTCTGCTAGCATTAGTAAATGCCACACCAGTGATAGCAGCCGTAGCAGTTGTAGACGCACCAGTAACTGCTACTGTAATGTGAAATGCATATCATGCGCTTTACGCGCAGTAGTTTCCGTGCATTAATTCGCCAGTTCTTTGCTCATCATCAAGTGATGTCAAGAACCACATAAAAGGATTCATTGTGTTTTCGCTTTATAAGCAGCACACATTGTGCCCACACTCGTTCCAGTTGCGTTCTTCTTCGAATATGGTAGTTCAGTATTGTTATTTAACTTTTATTATTTCAATTTTGTTAAATTCTTTAAGTTATTTAATAAATATAATAACATTTTTGCAATGTCATTATTAGAACTTGAAATTCTCTTATCAATGCTATTGTTCATATAGCTTAAAACTACCTTTAGATCTAACAAATATTTTGTGCCCAAACATTCGAATCTTTGATGATTATGGTAAATTAAAGATATCTACGTGCTATAGTCCCTTGTTATCAACGACCCAACTAAGTGACGTTCTTAGTATAGACAAACTTTTTGTTTTTAAAAATGCAAGAAAAACTTATAAACAACTACATTTAAGTGATACAAGTGGATATTGTTATCAATACCATTAAGCTTATATTGTGTTGATACGTATATTCTACAGACTTTGTTTTTTATCAAATAGCCAACAGGTTTTAGAATAGTTTAAAAAATACAAAACTCCAACATGTTTTTCTAGATATAAAAGATGCGTTTAACAACATCTTGAATAAAACTTTAAACAGACCCTGACTAAAAGACAGATTTCTAATTGTATAAATGAACTACATGCTTTATACCAGGAATTCACTAGTTTAAAAACTAAAATAGCACTCACGACTGTGCTTCCAATGAGATGCGTTGTCGCCACAAATGCAGAGAAATAGATGAACTATTACTAGAATTAGAACCCAGCAATTCTGATAATCTAGTAGAAAACTACTTATTACGACATGGAGGAATATTTGAGTACATATCAATGTTTACATATATATATATACATATATATATATATATATATATATATATACCTGTTTTTATACTTATCTATTATCTAATAAAAGTAATTAAATATTAAAATATATTGAAGTCTTACACCAAAATTAATGCGTTCACAAGTAGACACATAATTATCAAAATATTTGATAGATCACAATGGTTGACATACATTTGTATCACAGAAACCATGAGACAGGTCTTACATCAATTATTAAGGTTCCTGTAAAACTTACAGCTTCGCATTCTATTTCAGTATCAATTCCTTCAGCAAGGAAGGAGTATGACCAATGATCAGATTCGCTAAGAATGTTGTATAAACCGTAATAAGTTCGATATTTTCGCATAGCAACTTTCTTAAGTAGCT